GATTCGCCAATATATTTCTGATCGCAGGCATCTCATGATATACAGTAAACTCCTGAACAAATCAATTTTTCTACCCTTTCATGTAGAGTTGGTAGAATTGTGAAAAGTGTTGATTTCTCTTAAATGGCCACCTGGATATTCCATATACTCAATATTGGCCGTAGTTTTTGAGTCAGTTATCAGGAAGATAGGCATATCCACTTTGGTGAGTCCTTACTTTTCGTTGTCAGTGAGTGATGTCCATTTCGAATAAACCAGTACAACTTTGGGGGCCTGGTAGTCAGGAAAATTCTGCGTTATGGCCAAAATGTACTATAAATCCACTTGAGATGCCGCATACGACCAAAGATAGATGTTCACAGTCTGCTAAGATAACATGGGCTTAATCAAGGAGATAAACCGTGAAGGGAAGGCCTGATATATGCAAGCAAGGCAATCAGAGCGTTTCGGGCGAAAACATGCTGAGCTTTCGTCCATCATATGATGGACATCATTAGAGCTTGGTTTCATTCTTGTAAGAGTCTCACTTTAACACAGCGTCCGCATGAATCTTCCAGTAAAGCCAATCGACAGCTGGTCAAGAGGAATCCGCCGTCGTCTTCTGGTGGAATCGAACTTCGAATCTCTTCACCCACATGAATCTTCCAGTAAAGCCAATCGACAGCTGGTCAAGAGGAATCCGCCGTCGTCTTCTGGTGGAACCGCCTTGCTCTGATGATTTTCGCCATATGATGGACGAAAGCTTAGCACCTTTTCACCTGAATCGAAGGAGATTATCTCGGAAATAGCGTCACCGGATGACGGACGAAAGCTTAGCACGTTTTCACCAGAATCGAAGGAGATTGCCTCAGAAACAGCGTCAGCACAAATCTTCCAGTAAAGCCAATCGACAGCTGGTCAAGAGGAATCCGCCGTCGTCTTCTGGTGGAACCGACCTCCGATCCAGTAAAGCCAATCGACAGCTGGTCAAGAGGAATCCGCCGTCGTCTTCTGGTGGAACCGACCTTCGAAGCTCTTCACCCATCACTTTCACTCGAAATGGAAGTAAGTTCAATAACCAGGTTTTATAGTTCAGGTGATTAGTGTGACCTACTTTTCTTTGCTCTTTCGGCCTTTCGATAGCCTACATATTTCATGTAAGGGTACAAAATGTTCAAGCAATGCGATTGATTTACAAATCACTTCCTTGACATAGTTTTGGTGACGCTGGTCTAAATCTTGCAATCCATTAAAATGAGATCCGCAATGAAACTGAGTGGGTTTTTTCCGTTTTAATTTTATTGAACTGATTTAATTGTCTATATAACTTAGTTGAGCTGT